TTTTGATCAGGAGTCCTTCTTTCCAGTCTTTTGGTATATGTTCCTCACCCCAAATCTTATTGAAGAGAATGTGGAGTATCCTTGCAGTTGCCGCTACGTCTGCTTTTAGTGCCTCTGCTGGAATCTTGTCTGGTCCTGCTGCTTTACCACTCTTGATTTGTCTGATGGCCATGCTGATTTCTTCAATTGTTGGTTGGCCAACATCGATTGTTAGGTCCGTGGGTGCTGCTTCGATGTTGGGTGGGTTTTTCGTGCCTATAGGTAACCCTCGTGCTATTGATAGAAGAAGCCAGACAAGAAGTGAATAGGTCTTTATTTCGATCTTAGCGCAGTCACAGTGGAGCGTGGGATTATCTGTTCAGACAAACAAAGGCTTTCAACAGTGGAGCTGGTCGATTCAGGAGTTCTTTGAAGTGTTCTACCCACCTGTTTCGTTGTTTTTCAATGTTGGTGATTACCTCGCCTTCCTTGCTTTTCACTGGTCTGCGGCGATTTCCAGAGAGTTTCTTTATTATGTCATACAGTTGTCTCATGTTTCCTTCTCTCGCAGCCTTCTCCGCCGCCGTTGCTAAATCTTCCACATATTTACGTTTGTCATTTCTGATGCTCCTCTTCACTTACTTGTTTACTTCTGTGTATTCAGTTTGTGCCTTAGCGTTTTCCGCTCTTGTTCGACTGGTATTGATTGCTGCTTTCTTGTTCCTCCTTTCTTGAATCTTATCCAGTGTATCAACAGTGATCCATTCCTTGTGACGGTGCTTCTTGTGGCTTAGAACCTCATGACATGTCGAAGTGATTGCCTCTTTGATCCCCTTCCAGTTGCTCTCCATAGTAGTTCCCTCTTCATTGAGTAGACCATAAAGGCCGTATTGAACTTTTGTGATATTGTCTGCCCCATTGTCCAGTGTTTCTTGAGTTTGGATTTCATCTTGGTGACCAGCAAGTGATGATCTGAGGCTATATCAGCTCCTCTCTTGGTTCTCACGTGCTCTATAGTCCTTCTGAACGTTTTGTTGATGCAAATATGGTCGATTTGGTTTTGCGTGGTGTGATCCGGTGAAGTCCATGTGATTTTGTGTATGCGTTTATGTGGGAAAACGGTGCCGCTTATGACCAGCTTATTGAATGCACATAGGTTTGCAAATCTCTCACCATTTTCGTTCCTTTCTCCCAGTCCGTGTCGTCCCATGATATCTTCATATCCAGTGTTATAATAATAATAATAATTTATTCTCGAATAACAGTTTGTTACATGAGGCATGCCAGTTTACAGGCAAGATCAAATTGATACAAATGACACAATATCCACTATAGTAAATTACATAGCTGTGTTGATAATTTATAAGATATGAATGTTGATGGTTTTAATCAGTACCACAGTTGGCGCGCTTCATGAAAGTTGCGTTGCAAATGTGCAACTGATGGTCAAGGATAGGTCCATTGAAGGTGGTAGCTTCTAAATGTCGCAACCTTATGTCCATTTGGAATATCTAAGGCTTTGGGGATGGTGCAGGAGGGAGCATTTAAATCTCCCATCAGAATGGTCAGGTCCTTTTTTGGGAACTTCTCGATGATTGACTGCAGCCCATTGTAGAACTGATCTTTAGTGTCTTCATTGTAGTCGTTGTTAATTTTTTCTGGTTAGCGTTTTTTAGCGAGTTTTTTTCTACGGGATGGCGTCGCCGACCCCATGCTCAACCTTCCTCCTTTATCCGGGCTTGGGACCAGCAGTAGCCTCCGGAGGGACTCCAGGCGGAGCTATGTTACCCATAGGTCAGGTACAAATAGTAATCTGAATTGTAAATGGTCACTTGGTTGCACACATAGACCTGATAGCCTTCTTGATACAGCTCCCAATACGTACACTATGCTTTTGTCAGATGTTATCAGAAGCTATGTCAGTTCCCTTCCTGGTTCTCACGTCTTCCATTGACCTTCTGAATGTTTTGGTGGTGAAGATACGATCTATCTGATTCTGTGTAGCGTGATCGGATGAGACTCATATAGCTTCGTGTATGAGTTTGTGGTGGAATATTGTACTGCCTATAACCACCTTGTTGAATGCGCATAGATCTGCAAATCGGTCACCATTCTCGTTCGTCTCTCCCAGTCAGTCCATATCGTCCTATGATATCTTCATATCCAGTGTTGTCCATTCCGAATTTTGCGTTTAGATCTCTCATCAGTGTGTTGAGGTCCTTTCTTGTGCACTTCGCTATGATTGATTGCAGCCTCCCATAAAACTGGTCTTTATAATCGTCGTCGCTATCATTTATGGGTGCATAACACCGAATAACATTTATCGTAATCCTCTCCTTCCCTGTTCGGAAGAATACTTTGATGCTTCTGGAATCATTAGACTCTTATCCTGTACGTGCTTTACACGGTTCTTTGGACAGCATCATAGCAAATTCCCTAGTGTTTGGGGCATATTCTCCCTTGTGACCAAAGTACAGCAGCTTCTCTCTTGAATCTATACTTTTCTGTCTAGATTGGGTCTAATGTGTTTCATTTATTCCCAGTGCTGTCAAGTAGTTTCTCTTCAATTCTGCGTCCATTAGATTAGTCCTTCAGGTCTTCCACATTGTTCCGAAACCCCGTGCACCGGTATAAATTGCTGCTCCGGTTGTTAGAAGGCCTCGTGGACTCTGAAGAATCTAGGCCTTCACCATAAAACGTCGTAATTTTCCTAGATGGGAATCTTTCAACTCTGAGATCAAAGCTTAAATGGTTTAAATTGTTTTTCCTGGTTAGTGCCTTTTTAGATGGGGTGTTTTCTGTGGGGCACGGTTGCTGACCCCATGGACAACCCTCCTCCTTTATGTGGGTTTGGGATCGACAGTAACCCTAAGAGAGCTAAAGGTGAGGTCAAAAATTTATTGTCAGCCCTCAAATAAAATACACTAAATCATATATCGATTTGGCTGGTATGTAATTATTGATAGAACATAACGCATCACCGATACAGGAGAAATCTAGGACATATTTCCAATAAAATGCTTAAACATTTGCGTATTGAATGAAAATCTTACTGAACTTATACAAAGATGGTGTGGCGGTAAATAAATCCTCAAAATAAATAGCTCTGTAAGTTTTCGACATTTGATGCTGACCACATTAGTTTTATCGGAATCACCTAGCTGAAGGCTCTCTGTCATGAATCCGCACCAGATCACGAGTGGGAACGTCATACTCAGCATCCCCTGCAATCGTTAGCCAGATTAGATCAGTTGATCATCGATATATTGACAGCCTTTGAAATATATCTTCGAACCTCCTCGCTTCTGTCTTTTGATTTCACTTGATGGGTACGATTCATACAGAAGGTCTTAAAGAGTTGTCAAAACTTCAAACACCTGTGGCATCTTCAGTGGCACACTCACTCAATGCGGGGCTGGAATGAAATGAAGATTGAACCAAAAAACTATCAAGCCTATTTGAAAATGCAAGCAATACCTACTGAAACTCATGCAGAGCTAATATGTAATCAAGTGTTGTCACCATGTCTTCAAGAAAACTTGTTTTTCGATCATTTACATGCTCAGGGCTTCTAATATATTGTTAATGATTGCTTAGCATCCACCTTATCGACATTGACTCGAAAAGAGCACAGTCAAGGTATTGGCATACTTGTCTGTCGTCAAATGATTTAAAAACCTGGTGCTGCAACACGATTTCGGTGGTTAGTAGCCGGATTTGGATGGAGGTCCAGACAAACGCCGAGGAGTGATATCAAGTGGTATTAATACCGAATTAGGTTTAGCAATTCGATGGGTACACCCTCCAGTTTATAAAGGATGACCAAAGCAATTTATGTGGCATATATGGAATCTTATTTTATCTGAAACCCAACTAAATATCATGTGGAACAACCATGTAAATGAGTGACTAATCGACTCGGGTTGAGCTGTAAACGTATGGCGTCCTAGCTTACATCGAATGTACACCTGATGGTCCAAACAAAACCTGGCCTATCTCATCATGATAAACACGGAAATTATTTCCCTTGGTGACTGGTGTGAATGAATTATATTACTGTTAAAACATAAAGATACCGAGAGATCGAGAAGCAATAAATCTAAAACGGCTAACGGCTGTAGGATATTAGCGGAACGGCGTACCTACTCGTGATCTGTTGCGAATGTGTGACCGAGCGTCCACAGTTATATGTTTTCATTTAAACTAATGAGGTCAGCATCAAATGTGGAAACACTGGTGTATATGCTTGTTCACGGTTTCCCGTCTATTAGTTCGCATTAGTCATAACTGAACTGTCCATTATTCATTGATTTGTCATCAAACATAGGAGTGGTTCGGCTTAGTTGTTGATTTGACTAGGACTCACTGATATATTCACAGTTCTAGGTTGTTTGGTGTCTAAAGTGTTCACAACCACCCTCAGCATAATACTACTGCTTGAAAGTGAAAAAATATGCCATTTTTCCTAGACCTCAAGTAGTATGTGCTTCACTGGAACAATACAAGCCTTGGTTATATAGTTTCTCAGAAAAATACACTTTGTGACAAGCCTATGAGCAATGAAATTCACTCGAAATTTTGAATACTCACTTGATCAAAACTTTTGAAAGAAAGATAAAGCCTACCTCTGGTCAAATGTTATTTTGGTAAAATACTCTAAATCCATTCTATCGAATGGTTTCAAATGGTTCTCGATAGAATAGAAGCTTTTGCTTAACGTGCTTTTGAATCTAAAAGTAGTGGATCACCGATGACGCCAGGTAGAAATCTAAGTGCATTTAACGACAAAAGAGAAGAAAATATCAATTAATTATAGAGAGATACTGACTTTAACTTTTTAAAATTTGTCAAATAATCATGTTGAATAATATCTAGTAGTTTGTGGTAAATAAAAAATAAAAACAAGTGCCTTTGTCCCTCCCTGCCTATAACTTCTTTCAATACAATAAACATGAATCTCCAGAGAAGTCCTATTGACGGTTTCTGTTGGAAAAAGATTGGCGATTGAAGGGTTTGTTTGAGTTTATGCTTATGAGTCTGCAGCGGACTTTTGGGTCTGCGTCTTCTTGGGATCTGAAGGACTCTAGTGATTATTATGCCCAATTACTCTATGACAACTCTTTCCCACACTAAACTTATTTAAACGGCTTATGATTCATCCAGTTTAAATTCGAAATGTCAGTTAGGAGGTATACTGATCCTGTATATCTCCAGTTTGTGTGGAATGCAATTGAAGCATGCTCAAGAGATTCCATCGAATCTTCTTTTCACGAGTTGTTGTCCTTTATTCAAAGAGAATGTGATTCTAGATGCACTGCAGGAAAACTGCAAAATGAACTCTCAAATGCTATAAGCGATGGTTGTATAGAGTGTAACCAACGCTGTTATGTGAAACGCGATCCAATGCCCAAAATGAAGGATAAGCATGATTGGTAGGTTGAGCTTTTAGGCTTGAGCCCCGATTCAATATCTGTTTTCTTCCTTTTGAGGCTTGTGAACATGTATGATAATTTTTATGCAGAATATCTGGTGGTTTTCTCAGGTGGCAACGTTATTCGTGTTGTAACTAAGTTTTGCTTCTTTTAGGGGATAAACAGCCTTGTGATGAATTATGTAAACGTTTCACATGGCCTTACATTCCTTAAGAAGACGTTCAAACACCACAGCGCAATAATTCTCACAGCTTGAGGTGTTTAGGATTTGTTGGTATACTGACACAGAGAAGTCGGTAGTGGTCACGTGTTTGTTTTTGCGACAACTATTCGCTTATGTCACAATACTCAAATCTAGTTCTTAAAGTAGTAGCTAATTGCGGATTGATCGGCTTATTGCATTACTAGTTTGTAAACTGGGATGGTGTAAGCATCCTGGAGGAGAAGGTACCAATGTCGTTTTTGCAATTTAGCGACATCATTTTTACTAATTCTCCGTAATCTTGCACCGAATTGTTATTTTACTTCACAACAAAGCTTCCGTCACTTCTAGAGATGACTTTTGTACACTCAGTTCCACCAATATATATATATATATATATATATATATATATATATATATATTTCAATAGTGAATAATAATATCTGTTGTTTATTGGAAATAAGCTCTTGAATTTATTGATATCACCGAGTATCTATGGTACCTACAGTGAAACAAAATCACTAGTTCCAATAGTAGTAGCTCAACTGCACGATAAGTACATCCCATAAGTGCATCTGTCCCACTCCTTGGCTTTCGGAATATTCTGGAGACGAATCTAAAGATAAGGTGACAGTAGTAATGTAGTTAGATTTGCTCAGTAAAAATATATTTAGTATAATGACGATTTCATCTGACAGCGCAAGGCAGTTCGTAACTATATTACATAATGTTCAGTGTATGAGTTTGTTAACCGGACTAGGGGATACTTTCATGTGCATTCACCTTTAAGCTCGGAAAAGTTCGAATATTCACACTCGAGCTTTAGAAGTATTCAATGGCTTTTCGTGACGAATTATTAGTCGCCGTAGTATTACACATTCTACAGCATATGCTTCAGGACTCTAGTTTTCGTTCGAGTCACGTTTTTCTGATTTTGGGGAACGTTTATCACTTGACGTCTCAACCATTTCCAGGTCATGGGTCATTTATCTGACTTAATACTGCTTAAAAGTAGTTAAAATGTAGTTACTCAATGTCAAGATACGACATGAACGCTGAAAACATGTTTGGTATGCAGCTATCTAAGTCACTCATTGCTCGGGTAAAATATTGTTTCGCTCATCGAGTGAATACGAAGTCAGTGCACCTTTTTGCTGTTGCACAATGTCGAAACGTTGAGGTCAGTCATTTGTAGATAAATATCCGATTATTATTGTTCCCTCCGAGTTGCTAATCTTTGCGAAATCAACTTAAAAAGGCTGAATACTTCAGTGGGCGATCAAAAGTCTGTGAGCAAGTATTAAATGAAGTAACTGTGCTACGCTTATATTTTTATTTGATCGCAAACATTGGTATAAGGGGGGACCAAATACATATGCGCCACATTAACAATGAGGCTAGTAGTAGTTATCATTGATTTGTGTGAGGGCTGCAATACTGTCCGAGTGCATAAACCGAAGCAGGTGCTAAGTACTCCATGTGTTAGGTTTTTTATTTGCCCAAACCTACAAATGTAGAACGTATGATGGAGTTTTGCCCCATCAAAATCATCCACCTGAGCTACAAACCTCCACCATCTCAATGATATTGATTATTCAACTATCTCTCGGCAATGTAGTATTCATGACTCAGTGTAAAGTCACATGCTCCACGATTCGTTACCATGTACTAATTTAGTCTTATTTAGTCCATTAGTATTTTTGTTACGAAATGTTTTACAGAACATGATGATTAAGGACGCACAAGATACCGTCGAGTTATTTCTGTTCACAAACGGTAATTTCGTCGATTAATGTGACCAACTTGAACCAGCACCAATTGCCAGCTACATTTTTTAGAATCCATTATCAGTGTCTCTAAAATATTAAAATTGGGTGGTTGTTGACCACATGAAGCTATAAATCTATCCAAACGGCTATTTTCCTAAACATAGTGTTCACTAGTGCAAAAATACTGGATTTTTCGTTCCATTAGTTAACACATCCGTCTCATTTTTGTCAAAATACTAGGAAAATCGCTCATATATATAATATGAAGGCAGCGTTATTTCATACTACTATCCGAGTTGATTTGTACCAGCTATCTTGATGATAGGTTTGACGTCTAAGAACTATGCACATTTATGACATATCTTAAGTGCTTTTGTTTCTCCAATCCCTAATTCTGGTTCAAACCTTACTGATTGTCATTTCTTAAATCGTTAGCTTTTTTCGGAAGTTAGTGGTAGCTTTTGGGCCTTGTTAAAGGAAAAAACAGCCGCGCGTATACAGCCTCTGCCAGGGAAGTCCTACTCATCGCCTTCTCGTGGCGGGGGTGTTGTTTATGAAAATGAGAGGACGAAAAGCGAATGTCCAGCGCTTTAACCGGATCACAAACCAATGGTGCACATGGGCTCCAGTATCCTGCGGGAACAAATGGCGTATGAACCAATCTTTGGTCACCGGCTACCATGGGATTGCCCCACTGCCTTGTGGGCTCGGGGTGTGGCCCCCTAAGATAACCACCTGCTTCGGTTTGGGCACCCGGGCAGTATCACAGCCCTCACGCATATCGGATGAGATTTGTGTGGCGCATATGTATTTAGTGCCTCTTTGTACCATTATCTATGTGTTGAAATAAATAAATAAATAAGGAAATTGGGCAAAGCTTGCGTAAGGACCGAGAAGCCTGGTGGTCGAAGCGTGCTAATGAGCTGGAAGAAGCAGCTGCATCTGGTAACTACCGGAAGCTCTTCCAGCTCATCCGAGCCACTGGCAGCAAGAAGTCTGGTGTGAGTGAAACAATCTGCGAGTATGATGGGATGCCAATGACTAACATCCATCGATGTCTTGAACGATAGGCAGAATTTTTCGAAGGGCATTTCAACTGGTCTGCTGCTCCGACAACATCGGTCAGACTGTCCTGCCCTCCATGACCGGTGACGACTGATCCACCGAACGAGGAGGAAGTCCGCAAGAAACTCCAACTCTTGAAGCGTTACAAATCACCTGGCCCATATGACTTACCTCCGGCTCTTTTTAATGATGGTGGTGACTTTTTGACTAAGGAATTGACGACGTTGTTTACAAAGGTTTGGGAACTAGAGAGTGTATCAACGTCATGGAATGAGTCGATAGTTGTCCCTATCTTTAAAAAGGGTTCACGTCGTTCCTGCAACGACTATCGGGGGATAAGTCCACTTTCGATTGCGTCCAAGCTACTAGCTTCCGTCATACTTCGTAGGTTGTTCAAAACCCGAGAAAGATTGACTCACGAGGAGCAGGCTGGGTTTCGTTCTGATCGAGGATGTATTGATCATATCTTCACCCTCTGCCAAATGTTAGAACACCGTCATACTTATCAAAGGCCAACAATCGTAGTGTTTCTTGACATCAGGGCTGCCTTCGATTCGTTGGACGGGACTGTCCTCTGGGATTGTCTATTGAAGGAGGGTGTGCCTGAGAAGTTTGTTAACATCCTAAAAGCCCTATATAAAAACACCTCAGGCAAAGTGAGGGCATACAATCACCTCTCTCCATTGTTCCATTCGAGTAGTGGGGTTAGGCAGGGTTGCCCAATCTCACCATTCCTCTTCAACTTTGTCATCGATGACATTCTGGAAACAGCTCTGATGAATGTAAGTAATGGTGGTGTGGATCTGTTGCCTGGAGAAAGACTTCTCGACCTTGAGTATGCGGACGATATTGTCTTACTGTGCGATAATGCCCAAGGCATGCAATCCGCACTTAATCAGTTGGCAATCAGTGTCCGTAGGTATGGTATGTGCTTTGCGCCTTCGAAGTGCAAAGTACTTCTACAAGACTGTCAGGATTACAATCCTGTACTCACTCTGGATGGTGAGCAGATAGACGTAGTCGAGAAGTTCGTGTATCTGGGTAGCTGCATAAGTGCTGGTGGGGGTGTGAGTGATGAGATCAATGCACGTATAGTGAAAGCCAAAGCGGCTTATGCCAATCTGGGCCATCTTTGGCGCCTTCGTGATGTTAGTCTGGCTGTAAAAGGTCGGATCTACAACGCGTCGGTGAGAGCAGTTTTGTTCTATGCTTGTGAAACCTGGCCTCTCCGAGTTGAGGACATTAGACGACTCTCTGTGTTCGATCATCGCTGTCTCCGAAGGATTGCTGACATTCATTGGCAACACCATGTCAGTAATGCAGAGGCTCGGCATCGTGTGTTCGAGCACAAAGATGATAATTCAATTGGTGTTACCATCTTGAAACACCGACTTCGGTGGCTTGGACATGTTCTCCGAATGTCGTCCCAGAGAATTCGACGTCGTGCATTATTTGCCGACTCTGGGACTGGTTGGAAAAAGCGGAGAGGTGGTCAGTGCATGACATGGTGTCGTGGCATGAAGGAAAGCTGCAAAGGACTGGTTTGTGTTGGTCCTTCACGACTCCCTGGTTGGGGTCTGAGTGATGGTGCTACACAGTGGCTAGAGACGTTATCAGATATGGCTCAGAATAGAAGCCAGTGGCGATCCTGCTGTAACCTTCTTTTACTTTCTTCATAAAAAGTGGTTGTGTCTCCCTTACCTGAAGGATTTCTTCCGATTGTACCTTTGCGTTCCCTGATTACTAGCACATTACCTTACACCAATCTCTTCGTTATTGTTCTCTCTTTTTTTGCGCTCCTTAACTTTTATTTTCTTTCTTTGTATTCCTCTCGAATTTTCATTATTTTGTGTGGCGCATATATATTGGCGCTCTCTTGTACCAATATTCATGTGTCCAAATAAATAAATAATAAAGGAAAAACATATCTTCATCTCACCACAAAAACTTATTTTGTTTCAAATATGCTGTCCAGTTTTTAGTCAACTAATGCTGTTTCTGTTTTTCTCCCAATTCAGGTATTGCTTTGAATGTCACGGACCAGGTCATGTTGTATCTTGTCCAACTTGTTTCAGAGTATACCACCCCGATTGCTTGCCAGTTGCCTTATCATCACAACTGTCCTCTGTTATACCGTGTGAATCTGGTGGATCCGAAGCCGATTCAAATATGTCTAGTGGATTCCCACCTACTAGCCCATGTCCTGTTTGCCAGCGATTGTCGCGAGCATCTAATATATCAAATCCTAGCACCCCATCGGAGTTACATAAAATCTTCCAGGTTGTCCTTGATCGGATCCGCAACAAAGTCAATTGGAAAACTATGCAGGTTGTTGGTTACCTAAACGAACCTTTACGAAATAACTACCTCGTATTACGGCAAATTAATACTCGTCTTATAACCGAACGTATGCGAGCAGATCCATCATCTAAAGATTGTTATCCTAACCGAACCTCCCTTCTGATTGATGTGGATTTACTAATTCACAACACCGCCATTTTTTACGGTTCTAAAAACGATATGAGCAATATGGCTCGACAGATACGATCTCAGCTAGAACGAGAATTGCGAGAATCATCTTTTTGCATAGATTGTTACTTGCGTCTTCACTCAGCATCAGTAAATAAGTTAACAGCACCTTGTCGAGTCGCTCATCGTCTCCTTTGGTTCCAACACAATGGGTGGTCCTTTCGCCCTTGCAAAATGTTATATAAGAGTACGGAGGGCTACGAAGTAGTTTGCTTTGGTGGACGACATGAGAGAGTTTTTGTTCCACTGGCGAGAGCATTTGATATGAATTTTACAGCAGATGAACTTGGTTTACGAGAAACACCACCTTTGAAAAAAGCACTGAATGAAGCTGAAGAGTACAAAACAAACCAAGCTATTTTTGATCAGCAAATGAAGAATTATTCCGATCATCTGCCAAATAAGATGCTGGCTGAACCCATCTCGATAGATTCGATAAGAAACAATCTAATCAGTGAGTCTATATCTAATGGAACATTCCTGAAAAATGCTACTTCCCCGCCTTTAAGAAAGAAAAGACCTGGTAGGCGTCCACTATCTACTAGATCCCACAATGATGATTTCAACGTATCGCCTGAAATGCAGGTTTTCAAATCTCGTAAATCCACCGGAGCGAATTCACCTATGTGGTGTCCTGTGTCACAGCATTCTACATCTCGACGTGACTCACATTGGTCAGATACTATGAAGAATGTTACTGAAGGTAAGAGTAGTCACAAAGACTACTTGTATTATATGTACCCCCTTGCATTATTTTAACGTCAGTCGAGAGCATTAAATAGTTATCACACTTTTAAATCCTCTTTGTTCAGAAGTTTAAGAGATTTCAAACTTTCTTAATTAAATTTATATTAAAGCTCAAGCAGTTGGCTTTTCATAGTCGGTAAAAATTAAGTAGAATCTAGCGTATTCAAATTTCTCTGGGAAAATACCAAGTTTTTAACAGCTTTTTCTGTCAATTCATGAAAAAATTATCAATTATAGGAATTTCCTAGATGCAAACGTTCATTAGGTCTACTGGTGGTTTTCATAAACTGTTGTCTGTGCAGCTAATACATCCTTCATATTTGTCTCAAACTTTTTATGAGATTTTATCAAGCACTGTCTGAGCCTCTCTTGTATCTGATGAAATCAAATTGCTTTCATTGGTCGTGGCTTTTAGACCATTCTCTAGCATATGATAATGAGTGCCGAAAGAGTAAAAATAGGATTTCCTTGAGAATACAAATTTAAGCTTAAATCTCAGGAACCCAAACAATTTAAAGCGACTGTTTTACACATGGTTAGTTCCTTTGGAAAACGGGTCATGCATTTTGCTGAATTTTATTACCACTTGTGGTTTCATGGGATGTTCTAAATTTCGTATTTCTATTAATTAGTTTCTGGAAATCGAATTTACCGATTTTAGGTTCTCGGTTATTATCTGTGATTGCGTATGGAGTCATGTTTTGCTGTTATAGCTTTCAATCTAAAATTAGGTATGAGTTGTCTGTTTCATTGTCCGTTCTAAGTAACTCAAATAGTCTGCAAATAAATTTTCATTTTCAGCTGGTATCCATAGTCATCGTACCCAAATTGAGCACACCTCGTCTTTTCTATCTAATCTTTATTAGTCACTGGTTTCCGGAGGACATTGACAAAACTCAGTTGGTCAGTCAGTCAGTCAACGTAACGTAGGACCTGACACATGTGTACACCGGTTCGGGTTGCCATATACCATTATCATGGTGAGACGGAATTTTCAAATTGAATCATACAGGAGTAGCGATTGTAGTAGTATTAACGGTAGTAGGAAGGTTAGGCATCCAAGGCACAGTTCTAATAAAACTCAATAAGGACTTTCAAAATGTTCATTCCTATAATAGACGAATCATTGCTCCTCTTGTTTGTCATGTTTAACGTAAATTACCTTCACTTTCATAATCTTGTCTTCTAATAACCGTTGTGCACATGTCCTGATATCACTATGATATTTTATTCTTAGACATTGATATTGATTGGTTAGCGAAACCAGATAAACAAGTCTCCCATCTGGTTTAATCGTAAAACAATTGGTTACCTATTGGTTTACCTAAATAGCACATGCTCATAAAAATTTTTGGTTCAGGTTTGAGTAAATTATGTTTCTGAAGCCTAATGAACAAGTAGGCAGGAATGTATCTATCCAACAGTAGCTCATTGATTTTTCTCTTTCCCTTTTGCTCTGTTAGTAACCTTCATGTGATTTCTAGTCGCTTCTGTCGGTCAAAAACTAAGTTTTTATGGAAGGAATATGATAAGAACCCGTTAATTCATCTATTTTTTGGTTCTTTTTTGCTTTCTTTCTGGCAGTTATTCGTAACTGTTGGTATAACTATATCCGTTTTCTTGGTCTTGTTGACTTCCGTTTGGTGTAGGGTGATAACTTAGACCAATACACGATTGACACAGGTCATATGTCTTTGTGCAGCCTATCTTATTTAATAAAAAGTGGTTTTGTCGTGGTTTTTGTCGTAAGTACAGTTCATATACACTGTAATACTCCTACAAGAGCATTTAATTTATATATTGTTGTATAAGCTGTCAACATTTTTAAACACAGGGAGTTATTTCACGATGATTTTTCTTGAGATAAGGGGTTTTAACTCCTTTCATTCGAATTCCCAGAATAAAATGTCCATTAAGTTCATCGTTATAGACGGTGTAAACTATTTAGATACATTTGCTTAAGCATTCTTATCACTAACTGTTTTTTAACAGTATACCTCATAGTAAAACAAAAATGTTAGTGAATCGCATAATTAGATGTTGAATCATTAGTTTACTTTATTCGTTTGTTGAAATTATTCATAAATTTGAGATAAGGATAATAATAATGGTCTGATTTTCTACTTCATTTTTCTAGATAACTTAACTTCCTTATCGTCACTGAACAGTGACAGTGATGGTCCGGAAACCAAGTGCCGCATTTCAGAGCCTACTCCTGAGAATCCAAGTGTAAATAAATCGTCTATGAAACTATCGATACCTATCCTACCTACTCCAACAAAAAGAAAGTCACATAAAAGAAAGCGATGCAACGAAGCACACTCAAGACCTAGTTTCTCCAACGGCACATCAGCTGTCCCTCCGAGCTGTGACTCTAGTTCATCCGAGCTTTCAACAGCGTCTTTTGCGGCTAAAACACAACGGACTATACGCATTAAGCCGTTGCCTTTTAGAAGTGAAAACAACGACATTCCTCTTTCTGTGAAGGAAACCAATCAGTCTCTCCCTCGATTGACCTGTGTTGACAGTCATGTCGTGCGTACAGAACCTGTACACAGCATGTCCTCCTCATCCTCTGCTGCATCTGGTCCTTCATCGGACCGTACAACTGTCCCTGCCCTTGCCTCTTCTGGTGGCCATACCCCTCCTGATTCATCAGCTTTTTCGGCCTCTTCAACATATTCTGATTTTTCCAAGAAATCACGTGGACGTCCGCCTAAGACTTATAAATCTACCAAGTCCTCTTTGCCTTCAGCGAGCGCCAAATCTGCTACCGAAAATTCCGATGATTGTCCTTCCACCCCGTTACTGTTATCTACAAGAAATACCTATGAACCCCCAGCTAATAACAAGCATAGTATTCTTACAATACCGATAAGTTCTCCTATCCGTTCAGATAGGTTAACCGTTGCAGATGAAGATAAACAACATCCAGTGTGTTCTTTATCGCCGCCTTCATCCTTATCAGATGCAGAGTCGGATTTGTCTTCTCTTTCTTCTTCATCCTCCACCGTTTCATCATCATCTCAGTTGTCTTCTTCTTCGTTGTCTTCAACATCCACACTTTCATCTCCTGCTCTACGGTTATCTTTCTCTACACTAAAACCAAAGATAAATGACGAACTGTCGACCACTCGAGTCAAACAAAAGTCGTCAAAAGACATCTTAACACCTTTCCAAAGTCAGTTAACTCTCAAAACACGTGATAATAAGGAAGGGACAAAAGAAGCTGATAGTAGTCAACACGTTCCCAAATTAACTAAATCGATTAAGTCGTCTCGCCATAACTTGGAAATGAAGGGACATTTCCGACCGTCTTCGCGATCTACTGCTATAAATACTTTCAAAAATACAGATTTGAATAATGACTACCAGGATGAAGACGTCGGATTTTGTATGGCTTCTCCGGAAAAGAGTCTAAAACCTGAAAAGGTAAGTTGATCCAAACTGGTTCTCTTTTGCCATATACTTTTTTGATCTAACCAATAATCTAGTGGGTTGATCATATGTCTAATAATAATAATTTCTTAGTATTTACTGGATTTGTCGAATGGTTTACATGGTCCTATTCATAAAGCACTACGCAGTCTGTACAAACACTAGTGCTAATTAACTGTGAGATTATTTAGCAAGTCAGTACATACCTGTGTTGTGATCTTATTACTGAAGGTCGCTTGCTTTCTCGCTCACAACAATTCTTGTAACATTTAATATGACAAAAATAATTCACCAAGACTACCAATTAAAAAGTTAAATAGATGACTGCCTCTAAAGTAATATTTCCTTTCAAGTTTCAATTGTAAACGTTTACATTCTGATTTGAATTTATATTGTGACTTTGAAACTTGTCAAAGGTCCTTACATAGACTACCTAATCAGTTGGTTCGTCGTAAGTGTAGCTTCGTTTAAAATATGCCTAAAGAAGAATGTCCAGTTCGTTTTAAACTACTTACATTTGGTTAGCCGATACATTGCTGTTGATTTCTAAAGAGTTCCATGTATATCGTAATGAACTTTCCAAGGATCTTTACAACATATATGTTAGAAAATGATAATAATCACATTTATTTTTTCCTTTTTGTTTTTATGAAGTTCCATCTAGTTTTAACTACCTTATTACTATCGTAGCCTTTTACTAAACTGTAAAATACCTGTGTATGTATGAAGTCTCGGTGTTCACGTTTCTGATCTGAATGGCACTCAATCCTTTCTAAATAGTTTATTTCGTAGCTATTGATTTTATTATCTGATTGGTAAATCTAATAAATACAAACGCTGGAACTTTTCGCCATTCTTAGTCAAGTTAACTAAACCTACATGTACGTTATTTGCATGCTTCTTTAGAGATGAGGAAAATGTCAGTCTTTGGAAGTTTGGCTAGTAAGAAATAAAGTTATAGGTCGAAGTAACAATAGTGTTCGTATGGTATGTAAATCAGTGTTTTTTCAGCTAAACTGTTTATCCGTTTCTTTTTTTAGCTAACCGGGATTCTGCGCATTCCTGGAGATGGTAGTAATTCTGTTGACAATAAATCTCTGGGTTCCTCGGCACCCAACTCATCCGTCAAAAATTTCGCTTTTGATAGCCCTAATACCAAACTCAATTCTAAAACCGTTCATCCTTCTGGCTGGTCTAGTGGGACGAAAATATTGTCTACATTTAATGATCAGCCATCTGCAGCGCCTCAGCTTACTCATCCAACTGGAGCAAATGTCTCCACCGGTCCAACTCCTCCTTCGAACTCTTCAGCATCTTCTTCATGTTACTCTTCAGTGTCACCAGCTGCTCTTTCATCTACGTCTGGTTTAGGCTCTAGTTTAAGCGATCCGAAATCAGTAGATGCATCACCTGGTGAAGTGGCAACTATGCTAGGGAATGCACCTTTTTCTTGCTCATCAGGCAATGGCAGTGGACTGGTTGCTCATTTGCAGTCTGATAGCAATATGATAAAAGCTGAGGTGGGTCTTAATTTTGAAATATACGATTATATTACCTATTCCTTTGATGAATATTTAATATTATATAAAGTGTTATATTTGTCGCCTACTAATTTCTTTGAATCTCTTGTTACTGAAACCATCATTTTATATTACTTGTCTTGTAATCCTTTTATACGACATCAAGTGTTGTGCCACCTAACGTACTCACATAATGAATCATTTTCAGATTATTATTAATCTAAACAGCAACTGTCTTGTCTCATGTACCCGTGCTCTTAATTAGTTACAACACCAAAAGGATATCACTTAAACACTAAACATTAGAAACTCCGTCGTCATTTTAATACAAAGCTTACTAAAATATTTCATTTTAACCCTTTTATTCTTTATTTAGTGCTCTTGTGACATCAAGAAGTCAAGAGACCTAATTTTAAGGGACTTAGACAATTTTATTCTTTTCCAGATTCATCAAACTCGATTGAAAAGTAAACCATGTTAATAAAAGGACTTGGTTGCATCTTCGCTATTCAAATTGATGTAACCCACGGAATTTCCCTTAAATTTAAAGTTAAACAAGCGTTTTGATCCAATTTCGCTTTCGTGAACATAGACATATCTCTCTGAAGATTGTTAATCAGTTAGTTTATTTATTGGTTTAATAGTGTATCTAGTTGGACTCAAACATTAATTTATGTTTCTGTTTGATGAACACGGCTTGCGAATTTGTCAAGTGTCTTTTTCCAAAACTTTTAACGTTCTTTTTCAGTCGTTTTTATTTGTGAAATTTGATGGACAGACAGGGAATGTTTTCTTACAACCTAGGACCTAGTGCATTGAACTTTAGTAAGGTAAATAAATCAGTAAAGTAATAAACATATATATCTTATTATCGACACTTAATTCTATTGTACTTTCCTGACTTTAATCCTACGACGTCTTACACTAGTTTTGGTTAAGTTCGAATCCTCAGTAAAGTCAGCTTTTATAATACTTCATCTACTTTTTGTGATATCCTTTATTAAGAACTTCTTTATTAGTAACGTGATTTCTGAAATGCTAACCATATATATGTACATATGCACATCTTTTAGCCGTATATTTATTTTAACACAATGTCAACATTTTAAATCCACAAACATTTCTATCTCATTGTTTGTAGGAACGAATTCATCGGATATATGCTGATCGACTTATTGCCTTGACAACTGAGAGAGATCAAGCTCGGGAGGAAGTTCATCGACGCGACATTTTAATCTCTGAACTTCGTCGTGCACATGAAGCTGAGATTAAACGAGTTAAACAACGAACATGGTGTCAAGTGTGTTTAAATGAGGCATTCTACCACTGTTGTCCCGGGACGGCATACTGTTCTGAAACATGCCAGTTTGAACACTGGACAGCTCAGCATAATCGCGATTGCCGTCGTCGAACAGAGTCACAACAGCAACAACAAATTCGTAGCTAGCATATTATAGACCAAGTATATATATATACTCTTCAACTCAGTTTCATTCCCTTCAACCCCATTTCTAGTCGTTCTCAACTTACTTTTAAGAATTAAGTTTTTTAAAGTTTGGCAGCCGTATTAGGGATGGAAGAATCAATTTTATCCTATTATTATTATTATTCGCGTCAGAGTCTCTTGGACTGTTGAGCGCCGCTCAATCACATCGTTTTCGCTCCATAGTATGTTTGATAGTGTATAGTCTTTCTTTATCTCATGATGGTATTGTGATAATAACGCGTTCTTGGTATTTTATCATTATTGTAAGTAGAACTAATGATACTAAAACTCGTAATCATGAGCTTTATCATAACTATTCTTTCTTGACAGACCTAGGATTGCACTTAACCCAGGAGCCAATAAATTTATTTCATTACTGATACTTCTAGATAGATTTAATATTTCTTTCTTAAACTGATCATTTGCAGATTGGTGGATTTTCATTAGTTCACTGCAATTATTAACTTCGTTTATGACATTAGTGCTGTGAAGCGCAAGTAACATGTATCTTGTATCGCACTCCTTCAATACTCTTGTCTGATATTTATGTTTTGTTGCGCTCATTTAAGTATATTTGTTTTGTTGTTACTTTAACATTCTTCAGTGTGTTTGATAGTCCACACGCACAAATACACAATCGTATATGTATGCATAGATATACACATGTAAATCAATCCCCTGTTTTTGTTTATTTTTCTATATCTTTTCATTTTTGTCTGTGATTCATACTATCTGATCTTTGTTTCTCCTGTCTTGTTTTCCCTTTCATACTACTTCGTTAAAAATTAATCTATTGTACATGTACATACGTCTCACTTAATGTTGTTTTGCAACAAATCGAAGATGCTTATTAAATTAGCAATTTAATAGCTGTAGTTATGTATTAGTTACGATAACTCATTTAGATCTAAGCTCTCGTCTTCTGCTTGCTTATAAAAATCTCTCATTTTTGCGTAATATTTTAAAACAGTGTATTAGTATTTTTCAAATGATTATTATTTTGTCCTAAGAATCCTTTTTCTTTTGTTGGAGTATATTCCTGCATTGCTTGTCTTGTTAAAAATTGCTGTTAATAGGAGGTCGGAATTCTTACGTATCTATAAACGGGAACGCACACACACAGTTCGTTCATCCATATGTATATGGATAAGGATGTAGTGGCAGAAAAATTTAATAAGACATATATATATATATATATATATATATATATATATATATATATATATATATATATGCAAATTTTAGCAACATGGATTCATAACCTGTCTTATCTCTAAATCTATATAGCAGCAGTTACCCATATAGTATAATAAATAATATATGTTTTCAAAATACTTCATAATAATTCGTTTTGTACTAGAAGCAAATAATTAATTGTTTTTCTTTTCTCTTCTATTTGTACAGAAACAGTTGTAAATTTTCCTTATTGTTTTTTGTATACTTGTATGTATTTTTTTGTTGTTATTGTCATTTGTTAAGCGTTATGTTTTATCCTAAAGTTAACCGCTTTTCGAATTTAATGGTAGTCTACTCTGATATAAATGATTATGCACAATCGGAGTGTTTTGAAACCCCTGTTTCAAATTGATAAGGTGATATCTTACTGGGTACTCAGTATAAAATAGGTTGCAGTATAGTTACATTTTTTTCGTTTCAAGTCTCGCTGAATTTGTGATTATTTATATATATAAAGTGCTTTCATTCAACTATTGTTATTATTTCACCGATTGTAAGTCTCAAAGATGTTTTTTAAGGATTTATCTTGGTGTCTACACACACCCACCGTGTGTGTTCAACTTGATCATGCGTTTTTCCTCACGTAAATTTCCCAAACTTTATTGCTACGTAACTTGATTTCAAATCCATTTCCGTAAATAGTCGATATGTGAGAAGCCAATATTATTTCTTCGCTATTACTTAATTCTGTTTCTTCATACTGTAATGTGCATTCTCTTTTCATTTTGTTATGGTTGGTTTCAGTGCAACCACCAGCAAAGTAAGTTTAGTTTTTTTTTATATGGCAGTGTACATGTACATTTCGCAATTTCGTTATTGCACATGTTAATTTAAAATATTAAGTGTTCTTTCTAACATTGTCAATTTTTTTGATTTTTTGATTGGGAATCTTTTTCTAGTTAGTGGTATGTCGTTTTTCTCAGGAACACTATTGGACTAGTGTATTTTAGGGGGTATAGTAATCGTATGTTTCCACCTAACTCACTTTTATTCTGTTCTATTTAACCGAATGGTCATAACAACATTGAATTCAGTTACTCCGGGGTATTCTGTTCTCTAAACTTAAGAGAACAAAACATCATCCTGAGTTACAAGTATTCTTTACCATCTCCAAATGCATAATTTGACGACCATTCACTAGAAGTTTAGAGTCGGGTTTCTGTTTTTAGACAATCTATTAGGTGTACTTTAGACCAACCAAAATCAAGACTAAGACTGGACGGCCGATTAAAATCAATCTCTTTTAACTGTCCATTGAACCAATATAAAATAGGATTGTCATCTGACCAAGAGCATATATTCCTTGTATTTATTAGGTCTTTACATACTTAACAGTTTATCGCTAAACCTGTATGTCTAGACTTTGTATCTTTTCCGTCACTATAGTAGTTTCTAATGTTCAATAATATTTCAAGTCTACTTACTTGACTCAGATCGTCAATCGATTTTAATTCGTTCTGGAATGGTTGAGTATAATCTCTGCTAGTTTATTACAAGTGCGATCGATAGACCAAATGTACTATTATGGCTTTCTACAAATCCATTCATTCTGTAATTATTATTTTCAGAATATAAATTATTATTATTCCATGAATGTATGACATACGCACAGGCTATTACACAGTTCTTAAGAATTCATTGCTCGTAGATTCTAGTTTACACCCGTATGGAGATTTGTTTTTCGAAATTTCAGTTCTAAGTTCAACCTTTTTCTACTTCCAGTTTGAGACTAACGCTTATATGGTAAATTAATAAAAGAGGTTTCTTTATTTTTACAAATATGATGGACTTTGTCCAATTTTTCAAATTCGTACTTACGTATTCAAGTATAGAGACTGCAAACTATTGTCCTCAATGTTTGCCTCTGACTCCGGTTGTTATATCATTCTAGCCGTTGTAAATTGTCGAATACATACTCGGTAGGTATGTTGTAGATAGACTAGGCATCCTAATTGTCCTTGTCCTCCTTATTTCTGCGTATTTTAGTCGCAACCATTTAGGTTTGTATACTTTATATTGTAGGTCAATGATAAAAACGAAGAGAATAAGTGATAGTATTAAGTGAGATTTTTTATTTGTATACAGAATAGAAATGGATTGGTCTAGACCACCTTACACGACTGATTCGTTTGCTATTGGCGGACTACCTAACCAGTGCAATATATCGTCTTCAGTTTAAAGTCCTTCAATAGAAATTCGGTCAATACAGAGAAGTCCTTGTTCTATACTTCTATGGTTGCTGGCAATACAGACGGGGAGGACTGTACCACCATCGGCTGTTCCAAACCACACGTAATTTGAGCTCGTTTATTTCCATCATTGCTGTTCACGAATCTGAACTTGGTGCAGCGTGTTGCATAAAAGAGTATGTCAATATCATCTTCCCATATTGCGATATGCAATCTGATAATCAGTATATATTAACATGGGGCATACACATCCTTTATAGGTTATCCGAATCTCAATAACTGGTATTGTTACACATCAATGTTTAGTGTATGTTGTAACAGCTAATGTCTAGCTGTAAAACATCTGGTGTACAACATGTTGGTACAGACATTTCTGTTCCTAGTTTACTAAAAGAATAGCTCATATTTAGTTACAACGCTCATTTTCTGATCAAATAGCTTATCCTTCTTCATCGCTTAGTTGATATGATTGGCTATCTAGAATCTCTAGTTTCGATTACTTGAACGGGTTGTGTGCATCTACCATTACCAAGATCTCAGTTGTAAGTTTTGAATGCATTGGTCATTAGACATGTCATTAAATTATGACGCTCTATAAAACAACAAACACTTCGAAATCTTATAGTTTACATGAAGGATCTCTCACAACTCAGTTCTGCGTCTGCAGATCGAGATATGTTGACTATGATGCATTCGATGTTATTATTCTCGTGCAATCTCAACCCACTCCAAAGAAAATCTAACGTACATTAAAAGGCCAAATAATCATGTAGTAATAGGTTTACAAATCAATAGTAGTCCATGCTATTTCTAACAAATGTCAAGTCGATATGTATATGATATAAAAATAATTTAAATGGTTTATTCAATTATCAAAAAAGTGAGTATCTGGAGCTCTTCATATATTGCTAAACCCCGCCACAGTTAGAAAGGAATACCTAGTGACCCAACATGAACATCTATTTAAGTACCCACGTATTAATCCTATTTACGTCTCACACCATTAACGAAACATGCAAATATTGCAACATAGTAGTAGTTTTGGCTTTATAACTGTATAGTCTGATGAAGAAATCACTAAGAACGATCACTTACTCTAATACTCTCAAATATTTCCAACTATATAGTTCCATACTACAATGATCACATTCACAAATAGTTTTCACACTGAACAAAATGACCTGATATTAACATGACCGGACCTAAATCAGTCGTGATTGTACTTAAGGAACATTTCACTTTGTTTCCTTTATACTATCTATACTAGTGTTAAGTTGATTTGTTTACTTATTTTTAGTCACATTAAGTCATAAAAAGCTAGAAATTAATTTCCTATTCATTGAGATTTCACAAATATTTATAGGTTATGTACATTTTATAAATGTATTTTGACCACCAGGGATCACTGAACCATATTCGTTCGGTATAATACTGGAAATCACTACTACTTCAGACCTTGTGTTCTTGAAATGTCGAGGCTCCACATCATTCATTCTTACTTCTCATCATTACCCACACATATCGTGAGCTTCAATTAACCCTATAATGAAGTTTCATGGTATTTATTGTTATTTCCTAACATTCTCCACTAGGTTGACATCAATCATGTTCAAATAGCTTAAGCAATTTTTGACCATTAAGTATTCTGAGGAATTTGAACAGGGTAATTGATGAGAAACTACGAGTTGAGAATATTTTTGGCAAGACTAATCTTGTATTATATCTAAGCGATAATAACTTAGGGACGGACGATATAAATGACCAACAACGTTTACGTCAATTTTTGGAATTTGCTACAACTCCTTTCAATCAGATGATGCGCAGAATAATGTTGAAAAGTTTTATTTCCGTCCTAAAAGTTACCATCGATTCCTCAGACACTCTTTTAGGCAATGTTACGAAGTAATTGCATCTCGCGAGACAAAATCGTTAATATCAATTACATATGAAGGGTAACACTGCGAAAAATTTAGGAAATAATAAGTGACCTAAACGTAGTAAATGCAAGTGTTGTTGGAAGTATGTAGTCTGTGGTTTTGAGGTAAGGTTGATCTTGAGTTCGATCTTTTTCTAACTGCTCCTTCGTTGGTGAGAAGGTATCATCATTGAAGAAGTAAAAAATAATCATTGAGCTAACAGAAAATAATCATCGTAAATATCAGTTGGGGTTATCAAAATTTATTAATTTATTCTGTTACTTTTCAAGTTTACCAACTTTAAACTTATCCATCCTTCACACACTTTATGAAATGAAAATAATTCAACCAATAGTGTAATTCCATGTATGTAAACTTATCAAAGATATAGTTTTATCACTAAGTCTTATTTTGAGGCCTTTCAAAATTGTAAATTATCGGTATTTAATTTTTTAAATAGTGACCTTTACAGGTGATCAAACTCAAAGGAATCAGATTGATAATTTAAAATTAAATTTCTAGCATGAAAATGAATGGGTATAAGATTTATGGAATTTTCAGAGTTTCGACTGTATAAATAATAATTATGCACATATTATCACAACTATCATACAACACATAAACAAAAGTATAAATAAGAATATTAGATAGTTAGTGATAAGTTCTGGAATATGCATACTACTTATAGGTAGTGTGAAATTTTTATTTGAAACATGTCGTTATGAAATGCCCTCTCCACCCACCCCCCTCTATTATACATACACATCAAAATGATATTCCATTTCGACTTATTTATCATAGATATATTTGCTGAAATATTTTTGTATTGTTTCTTCAAACCATTTTGTTTGAAAAAAAACAACAATTTGTTGCTATCTATCTGGTCTATAAAAACAATAATCACTATAAAGAAATGACAATTATTACATGAATTATTATACAGATTATTGTTAATGATTTTTATCAATCATACAGAATAACACCATAGATAATATTCAATTTGTAAAATCATTACATTTATTGAATAGTAACAATAATAATCAATAATATTTCTCATAAAAATAATTAACATTTTTCTTATATACATAAATAATAAATCGATCGTAAAAAAAAAATAATCAATCATAAAAATGAAATTTTTATTAATCTACCGTAACATGAGTTAATTAATTAACTAGACATAAATGTTTATCACGGATTTATTAAGTGAACTTTTGATAATCATTATGAATTTTTAAACATCACTATTTTGTTATTGAATATTATATTATCACAAGTATAATCTGTGATTTTTCAAAAAAAAAATATTATCAGAAGGGTTTTGTGGAGATTTTAGTAGTTTTATAGTTGAATTCAGGAGTCAATTGAAACTAGACCACCATGGAGAACCTAAAAGCATTGGATGGCCGTTTTGTCTTATTGTGGGACTCCTCAGCATTGCACACCCACGATCCCGCCTCGAAAGACTCGAACCCAGGGCCTATCAGTCTCGCACGCGAGCGCTTAACCATTGAGCCGGCATTCAACAGTGTTAATGTCTAACTTCAATGAATCTACGAAACTGAGCAACATATCCACCATTGTCTTCAATGAGTTACTATCTCACAACAGACCCGACTGGACTCCACTGGTCACTGCTTCTCACTAGAACTCCAGGAAATACCTATTGAAGCTGAATTATCTTTCTGAATTTATTGACTTTGTGGAGATATATAATGTAAAGATGAATTTTGTCACTTGTTCACCCAGA